ACTTCCAGTCATCGACGGTATTGACAATCGCTCACCGATTGAACACAATTATCGATTCGCATAGAGTTCTGGTTATGGACTCCGGGAGTGTCCGCGAGTTCGACCATCCCTTCCATCTCTTACACAATGCCAACGGACTCTTCCATCAGTTGGTCCAACAAACCGGTCCACAAAAGGCCACACATTTGACGTCTTTAGCAAAACAGGCTTACGATAAGACACACACATCGGAGGAATAATTTTTATCATTTAATATAATAACGAAAAATAAATATTTGTTTTAATTTCCAATAAATTTAATTCAAAGAATTTTATTGACAAATAATTGCTAAAAACATTTGAGACTTAAAAACATATTTATTCGCTGAATATATGAGAGTAAGTCTCTCTCTCTCTCTCTCTCTCTCTCTCTTTCTTTCTCTCTTTCTCTCTCCCTAAAATTGTACTTGGTAATAAATAATAAAACATTGATTAAGCAATATTTTATTGAATTATACACAGGAATCAAATAATGAACAATAATTCTATGCATTACACCGTTGAGGTAATGCAGTCATACACTATAACCTTCGCATATAGTTAAAAATGTTGGATAAACCGTTACACAATGTAATTATTGTTTTTATTTAATTATAATAATTATAATAATTGTTAGCAAATCACCGATTTTTGCCGAAAAATAAAATTATGTCTTTAATAAAAGTTTTTTACTAATGGACTCAGTACTGGAGATATAGTGTATTGTGGATACAACCCAACGATGCAGTGCTGGAAAGCAGTGAATTACCGGTCATTATTTGATACATTTGATGGAGGATTACATTAATCACAACTAAATCAACTAAAAAAGTTTGTTGTCATAGATTCTAAGACACAATTAATAAAAGCGTTTATTATGATGTATTCGCGTTGAGAGCCCCGCCGTCGGACACAAACTGAATGCCCGTCACAAACGAGGCCTCGTCTGAGGCCAAGAAGAGTATGGCGTTCGCGATGTCTATGGACTCACCGACCCGTCCGACCGGGTATTGGACACCCCTTTCACTATATGCGGCCTCTGATTGCTCTTTTGTTAAGCCCACGGCTTGAAGGAAATTAGTTCTAACGGCACCCGGACTATAGATTTGACAAATATATTATTACTATTGAATAATAATTAAATTAATGATTGATTACTTGATAACATTAACGCGAATGCCTTTTGGACCCAACTCTAGTGCCAGACATTTGGTGAACATATCGAGTGCACACTTTGACATAGAGTACAGAAAGGCTGTGGACACCTGTTTTTGTATTAATACAAACGTTTTGTACACAATAATTAATTTTTATTTATAAATTATAATTAGTTTAACATTTGATTTAATGCAATATACTGTAAACTCAACCGTAAATTACTTACCGGTTTAAGTGCCACAATACTTGATATGTTAATTATATTGCCTTTAGTTTTCTCCAAGTGTTCGACCGATAGATGTGTTAAATATATGACTGAACGGAGGTTTGTGTCCATCACTTCCCGGTATTTGTCGAGAAGAGCCGTATCAGTGATCGGACAGTGCATACCTCTGCCCGCGTTATTTACCAAAATATCCAACCGTTTGAATGCACTGATCGTACTGTCAATCAGTCGTTTACAGTCGACGTCTTTACTCACGTCTGCCAACACTTCCAGAGGTTTGAGACCTTTGGGCGAAACGGCCGCACATTGTTTGGCCACTTCGGACAAGTTGTCGGCATTACGACCGGTGATCACCACTTGAGCCCCACATCGGGCGAACTCGACAGCAGTGACGGCGCCGATACCACCGCTCGAACCGGTGATCAGCACTACTTTATCCGAGAAATTCTTTGATGTGGACATTATTAGCACTTGTGTGCACTAAAATATTTCTATGTGAATAAAAAACTTTTTAACCCGTTTATATACTCAACTAAATGATCTAGCTATAAAATATAATATAGATGTTTAGTATAAAAGTACAAACAATCTCCAACCACTAAAATGTACTTTATTTAACATATTAATCACAATTCTTATATGAATAATTTGTTTTGTAGGTAGGGTTGCCAACTGGTCAAGGTTTGCCTTGATTTGCAAGGTGAGAGGGTTCTGATCAAGGTGAAAACTAAAGGCAATATAATTAACATATCAAGTATTGTGGCACTTAAACCGGTAAGTAATTTACGGTTGAGTTTACAGTATATTGCATTAAATCATTGAGAGGGTTCTGATCAAGGTGAAAGGCGAGGGTCTCACCTTGACATAGACAGGTCAAGGTGAGAGCAAATGTAATTACTTTATATCTATTTTAGGTATTTTTTGTAATGAACACACTATTTCAAACCCAGAATAATATTTATTGCCTATTTGTATAATAGCAAAACAAATCTTTTATTAAAAACCATTTATAAGAAAGACTTTTGTCTCCAAAAAGCCAGTATTTTATATGGAAAATACACTGTAATATAACAAAACTAAATTAAATTAAAATCTAAATTTACATTTTGCTCATATTTCAAAAATATATATAATCAAATATGCAATAATAATGATGGTCAAGGTTTGGTCAAGGCGAATTTAGAAAATTTTTGTAGTTTTCAAGGCGGTAATCGATCAGAGTTGGCAACCCTATTTGTAGGTTCATTCGTCCACCCCTCCTTCCCCATCCTATGGGATTTAACATGACATTACAGTTTAAGTCTATAGCTATACTTTTACAAGGGACAATTATTATCTTATGTATAAATTATAAATTATACAGTATACTGTTAATCCTATGGGACTAATGCAAAGTCTATGGCAATGCTAATTCTATGGGTAATGCATATCTATGGGCTAATGTTAAATCTATGGAATTCTTTGAGTGCACCATCCGAATTGTGGTTAACGCACACTTCGCATGTGGTTCTTGTTTTTAATATAAGTGTTGTGTTAGGCGTTGAATAATAGTATAGACTTAAACCGATTCAACCAAGGTTATTTAAACTACTAATTTTATGTCAATTCACCACTTGATTGTCTTCACAACACATCCAATGATTGGTAAAAATTAGTTTGTCAAATTTTGTTAAGTCATTAGCAAAGAGTTGTCTTTACATAATTGACATATCCTTAACGGTAAGCGATATCGAACTCTGGCGTAAAGATCTATTCAAATCATATAATAAGAAGTATTTTGAGACCTATTTGTTATCACATAAATACATATAATTACATATTCTGTCTGTTTTCACACATATTTTCACATATCTAGGAAAAACTGGGCTAAATATGTGAGAATTGTATAATTTGTTCAATAATTTTGTCAAACAATTGCTTACAAACTTGTTAGAAATATGACATTTCTTATGGAAAGTCTAAATATTTACATAACACTAATAGTTATTGATTAGTAACTTACTTATATACCGTATTCTTTCACATAAACGCCCATGGGGGTTTATGTGAGGGGTCTCTGACTCGGGTGGACTTCAAAATAGCATGGGGTGTTACCTAGGTAAGCCCCCACCCTCTCTAACAAATTGACATAATACCCCATGGGGTCATATCTCATATTAATAGCAATGAATACATTTATATATTAAATTCAGTGATTAATTATAGATTTCAATTAAAACAATTTCTATTTAAGACATTTATTCATCTGTATGAATGTATTAGTACTTAAAAACAATACTCTAATTAAACTTTCACATTTTAATTTTTTGAGTCAAAATAGCATGGGGTGTTACCTAGATAAACCCCCACACTCTCTAAGAAACTTACATAATACCCCATGGGCGTTTATGTGAAAGAATACGGTAATAAGTTAATTAATTAAAAAATAGTATAGCAATACTGATGCTAAATATAGCGACAAATGCAAACTCCCGGTGCCTTTGGACTACAATATATAGCATAGGATGTTATCAAAGATATAAATAGATTAGGAATGAATTCATTAAATGTGTTATTAAAACAACAAATAATTGATTTATTTTCAAAATCATGTGAAATAACTTTGAGTCAATTGAATGCCGTATTTAAACATAAATTATATTTAAATAGCAATGAATTTAATGTATAAATTGTGTGCACTTTTGACAACCCTATGGATAGGCGAGTGTTGTGATCGTCACTCTCGAGGAATGCACGCATGCCTTCATAGATATCTGGAGCGGGACTTCTCGACCATTGAAGCCATCATCAAGAAGTCGCCGTACAGTCGGGGAGCGGACGGTTCGGTCGGCTCTCCAGACATGGGTCGTC